TTGGACCTGAAGCTGTTCTCGCCGTTTCCTGTGAGCCAGAGGAGTGTCAGTGAGCAGGTGCCCACGGGCTGGCAGGGACACTCGTGTTGAGAGGCTTTGTTCTGTGACAGCCCACTGCAGGAGTTTGGCTTCTGGGTGCTTTTCCTGAGCATTTTGAGATGCCAAAAGTCCTGCACACAATACTGAGCTCCTAGGGCCCAGTGCTCTCCGGAGGTTATTCGGAGGCCCTTAGGTGCTGGCTATGGGCAGAGTGCTGTGGAAATGGTGGCAAGCGGCCTCACACACCACTGCATGGGGGAGAGACCCATTGCGAGCAGTGAGCCCAGCCTTTTCGAATTACATACACTGCCTCTTCTTCCTCAAACACAAGTGTGTTTTTCATCAGGGAGCCAACAGCAAAGCAGAAGTGCCTGAAGGACAACAACTTTCAGTAAGTTTATGCTTTGCCTGGACTCCAGAAATCTGCCTGGGGAGCACATATAGAAACACATTCCCTTTAGAAATAGTGAAGGTATGTTTTATTTGTGCCAGTGTTCATTTAAAACTTCCCGTTTATGTGGGGCACAGACATGCAGCCTGCGTGTGTGAAATCCAAATGTGTTGTGGGCTGCGGGAGACTGTGCTCTTGTGGGAGGATGGAGCCATGGCCGTCCTGGGGGCAGCAGGGGAAGCCGCGAGCGGCTGCGTGTGACACGCTGGCTCTGTGCGAGATGCTCCCCGTGTGCACTTGCCGGAAGCCTTCACTCTGGGAAGCTGTGGCGAAATGCTTTGCTATTACACACACAAACTCGTAAGCAAACGTTCCCACGGCCTAGAGTATCAGACAAGCGCATCCGCTATCCGCACGCTGAGCGCTGGCAGCGGAGCCAGCGTTAATAATGTTAGCGTTTAAGTGCCATGACAATATTTAGGCTGTTTGCTGACACCTTGTTGAATGGAAGAGTGGAAGATCACACTTGGCGCTACTGTTAGTCTGTGGAAATCCAGCATCTCGGGTTACCTTGTGGCGACTTAGTGCTTTGCCAGAGAGCCGCAGGTACTTTTGCTTTGTCAAATATTGGTGAGTGAAAATATTTTAAATTTGGGAGTTTACAGATGGTCCGGCTGGGAAGTGAATTTTAATAATGAGCAGAAGAATCTGGCTATAGGCATTAAAAAAAAAACCACACATTTTTGTATTTCTAACATTTCTGTTATAAAGAGAGATGGATGTTAAATTCAGTAAAAACGTGTTTAGGAGACAGATTGAAAGCCTTCATAAAACAGTGTTTTTTCATAACAAGTATGAGACAAAGTATACCTTTCAGGAACTTTAAAAAGATAGTCATATGTCTATCTCCTGATGTTAACAGAACCAGTTATTTAGTAGGAATGAATATAAGTGCGAAAGTGAAGTTTTAATGATGTTCAGGACTACCACGTAACTGGTTTGAGCAAGACAAAGCCTGAGGAGTTCAGGGCGACTTCTTTTCTGTTCATGCAGAGCTTGATCCTATATTGTGATCAACACCAGTTAATTTAGATGATGCTGATTCAGCTTCTCTTTGTGGTAAGTCTGAAGCAAAAAAACATGGAGACTTTAAAGACAAATACATAAAAGCTGAATTCATTTTTTTAAGCCTTCTCAAGGGAGGGTGGAGATCTGTTGCTACAGGAGTGTTTGCGTGGGTTAATTCATTGACTAATGCAGAGTAAGTTGTCCAGAATACCTCCCAATGTGATTTTCTCTGGTGCCTTTTTTTTTTTTTTTATGATGCTGCTGCATGCAGTAATAACTGCAACGCAGTGAACGCAGTGAATCTCGTTTCACAATAGAATATCCTCAGGGCAAGGAAAGTTACTCTTTGAGCAGCATTCCCAACCACCTGCTTCCTACAGGTAGTCAAGCAAATAGGATGGGAGATTTTTCCTGGCCAAAGCAGTGCTCAGAAACTCCCTATTCATTTTATACTTGTATTTTTCACATCTCTAAAATGAGACCTACACCTGCTTCTCATGGCAAGGGACGTTGGCAGGGATTGTCACACTATGGCCATAACGAAATGTATTCATTCCTCTGTGATAAACAAAGTATATATCACTTCAGATTAGGCTCATTAAATATTAAGTCAGTGTCGTTCTCATAATGTTCATCTTTATGAGAAGACTTTTACTAATCTAATTTAAACTGCGTTTGTTTACACCAGGTTACTTTTGATTGGTAATACATTAGATTAAGCTAAATCTGAGATTTAGCCTGATAAAAAAAGGGCTGGTGCAATGTAACTGCAGACCCTCCTCACTGCCCGTGTGAGTGGACAAAGCGGGGTGACGTGGCACTGCCCTGGAGCTGCTTGTGCAGTTCCCTTTCTGGAGTCACCTCAGCGGCTCAGGGCTGGGCCTGGCGCTGCTCGCGGGCTGGGGGGTGGCTGCAGAGGCCCCTCACAGAGCCCGTGGTGCCGCGTGTGGGAGCTGTGTGTGGGGGCTGCGTGTGGGGACTGTGTGTGGGGG